TATGAACAGCTTCATACAATCCCATACGTTCTATTTTGACACATAGTTACCGCCTAGCGTTTTCGCGTCCGTGCGAACGCTCGCTAAAAGTTATGATTTTACTTGCCGCAGTAAACGTGTTAACTCTCTTTAAGTGAAACATTATTTTTCTCTGACGCCGTTTTAAACGATTTTTGTCAATAACAGGATAGGACAACATCGTACGTGTTATGTGAAATGTTTCCGAAATGACTCAATGAAGTATGTTAATCCCAAAAAAGTACTTGTGATAAGCGATCTATCTATCCATTACGTAGTATGATTGATGGATTGATGTGAGAGTTGCCAAATGTTTGTTTTATCGTAGATCGTAGCTAAATTTAATTAATTACAAGCTTGTTGATCGTGATATTCATTACGTTTCTTTTTGCTGTTGTTTGCTTTAGAAAAGATATGTTTTTATACACACCAATAATTTACTCATGATCTGTTGAGTTTAACACGTTTACTGCGGCAAGTCAAATCATAATTCTTTATCTGGTGCGGCGGCGGGATAAAATGCGCCTACAATGATATTTCCGACAATGCGCGGCAGGCCTTTTAAGACCCACGAGCATTGGGATAGATTAAGTTGCTATATACATTTTAATTAATGTATGTATATAATGTATATACCCGAGATAATCATTTGGCATTAGCGAGAGGGACATAGTTTTCTTTGACCGCTCCAGCTTAAGTACCGCGTCAGGCCGATATCGGCCTGTTACTCAGTGACCATGTTAAATAAATCAATGCAACACATTTTAATTTAACATTTAAGAAGCCGTGCATATGACGCTTTAGTATTGTTTATTTATTATTTACTAGCTTTTGCCCGAGACTCTGCCTGCGTGATATTAAAAAAACGATAGTAAGTAACCTATGTATTCTTTCACGCTATCCTCTACATCTATGTCAAATTTAATAAAGACCCGTTGAACAGTTTAAGCTACAAATTCTAACAAACATCCATCCATCTAAACTTTCGCATTTATAATATAAGTGAGATAGTAAGATTGTTCATCGGCCTCGTTTATAAGAGTAACTAAATGAAGTTGGAAAGACCAATTGATGACTTTTTGACAACTGATAAATTGGTAACCAATAATAACATAAAGTGATCAAGAAGGACAATAATCACCGAATACTCCCTACATAGTGATCACTACAAAGCGACAAGAGCTTAAAGTTTTGTTCTATTTACTAAGTTCACGAATGTTTACTACTCATGTCAAGAAATTTTTTATATACCTAACAAAGTGTAATTTCTCTCCCAATTAGGTTGGCGACAGACTGGCGGTTAGCTGTAAAAAAAAAAACGACAAAATGTTATAATAATTAAATATGCTCTTGTGGAATCTGAGGTACCATATTACCAATATCAGCCTACACCAGTTCTGGAAAATAGCCGTATCACGATCTACTGGGACCGATCTATTATTACGGACAGGACTATTGCTGCCAATAGACCTGATATAGTAATAATAGATCGGTCTGAGAGTTGTGTAATGTTAGTCGATGTCACTATCCCACATGACGAGAATCTCGTGAAAGCCGAAAATGAAAAACTATTAAAATATTTGGATTTGGGTCACGAGATTACCGCCATATGGCGTATGAAATCGACTACCATTATTCCGATAGTCGTTTCGGCACACGGGCTGATAGCGAAGAGCTTCGACCAACACCTCAAGAAGCTCTCGCTAGGCAGTTCGATTAAGGGCCCGATTCAAAAGGCGGTTATTTTAGAAACCCCACGAATAGTGAGAAGGTTCCTGTCTCTGCAGTCCTGACCACTGGTTGCTTGAGTCATCGGATTTCGTAGCCGATGGACTTCTATTTTTTTATATAATACGTTTTATTTTGTTATTTAAAAAAAATCGTGTGAAATATATTATACACAAAAATAAGAAAATAAAGATATGAGATAATAATGAAAAATATGCTTTTATATCCTTTAATGTGTTTGTTCACTATTTCATCCTCAGTTTAATTAAAACCGTTTTATTACTCATCTATTGTGACATGTAACTACTCTAACAACCGGAAGCATTATCTATTTCTATTTATCTATGTTTAATGATCATTTTGATGGGAAATCCCCCTTTCCTTAATTACACAATAATAACATACTTGCATACGCCCGTGACTTCTGTACAATGTTACTTGATGATTTAATGATTTTTCTTGTCAAATATGTATTTATATTTGACTAAGATATATTTATGAATTGTTGTCAATATAGAAAACTTATCGAATAACTTGAAAAGTATAATGTAACCAAAAATTTAACTGGCAACATTGAATTATTTTCGCTATTTGCAGTACACGGTTTCTACCTAACAATCTAATGTTTTTACCCTTGTTAACAGGAAAGACAAGTAGTTTAAATGCGTACCGTTAAAATATTACAAAGTCCTTCACCTAAATATTATAGTTTTCCTTACAAACATCTTTATTTCCAAGAAAATGATTGTTTTGTTTACATATCGGTAAGGGCATTTCGGGATTGTACCTTGTTTTGTTTGGCATGTTTTCAGAAATCTGACTAGCGGAAAATAATGTCATTCCGATGTCAAAAAGTGTTATTAATAATTTCAGGAAATATTACCGTTCTTAATTATTAAGATAAATAGTTATTTAAACTTCTAATTCATAGATTTAGGTAAATAACCTGTTTACTACTAATCAAGGGAAATTATCGGAAGTACGGTTGTTAAAATTTTACATTTCTTTCTTACAAAAATAATCTATATTCAAAGCATGCTTTGATAAGAATTTGATTGTGTCAGCTACACACGATTGCATGCTTTGCCCTTGCATGACCTGTAGGTAAACCCTAGCGTGGGACAAACAAACTAGAGTAAAGAATGCGAAAGAGTGAGACCCAAACGGGTGTTGGCCTCCGATAGCAAGTGTCCACTTTTTTCGATCTCGTGGCATTTCAACCCAGTCCTGGACTTGGAGCTTTGGTCTTTTCCTAATAGGTCGGCCGTCGGGGACAAGACAACTAGACTGTACTAAACATTATGTGTAAGAAACTCGTTTAAAATCGAGTATGTGACTTAAAGTTGGGTACTGACTTATGTTATGAGGTGTACATGTTACATAGCGAGCATTCTTTTCAGTGTGTAAAAAGAATCTAGCAATGACGAGCCGCCCGTTTTGAAAGTTACACCTCATAACGCCGCGTCGGTCAGTACCTAACATAACGTGTGTTGGCTGCATAATGCGTTATTGTTTACAATGCAATGTTGACGCCAGAAAGTCGCAAAAACAGATAAAGCAATGAATTTCATAAATGTCACGCCACTGACCCACGTAACTGGTGATTCCCCTCACTTATTTATTGATTTCTGTATAATATTGACTATTAAGGTATTAATGTAATGACGTACTGTTGATTTCGTCCGATAGACTAGGATCACGCTGGTTCTTATCAATTGTCAGTACTAATTACTTTTTAATAACGAGATAAAATTAAGTTGATTTAAATTGATCGGTTTTACCTATTGTTTGACGTTTGTACTGATTAGGTGCTTTTTTTCTATTATTGAAAAGGTTTTTATACATTATCTTTTAGGTACTTTATCATTGCTTTCCTACTTTTCTTTGGACGTCAACTTTTTGATAAATATGCAAAACTATTTTTTAGATAATAAATTGATAAGTCTAAGGACATTTAGTGGGAACAATCATATGAATAGTTCTTTCCTTAACCTGACTTTATGAAATACTAGCTGTTCCCATGCGACTTCATCCGCATACAATTATAAAAAAATAATTTTATTGTTCACATTTGTCCAGTTATCAATTGTAAATGTCAAAATGACATGACACGACCAAACCATGGCAACCTTACTTCCGTGATGTTGCCAACAACTTATGGTCTCTTTCCCACATTAGGGTTTTTATCTAAAATATTTACCCCTAAGTTTAACGGCTTGAAAACATAAAGCCTAAAGCGTGACGTAAGTATAGGGCTTTTTATTAAAAAGAGAGTTATTCGAAAATATGCTGTGATTGCTGACATCTAAGGCAACAAAGAAGTGTGTGTTTACGCTTTATTATAATAGTATAGATGTAATCTTTGATTTTTATAAAATAAATAAAGTCCTCTTCGGTCTGTTTACTTGCACTTTGGGTTTTTTACGTGTTAAGAAAATCACCATGTATGATAGGACTAAGCTCATTTTAATGTTTATTTTGGTAAAATTGTAAATTAAATGATGAACTGAAGTAATGAATCAATTAAGAATTTGTTTATTTCACCTTGACTTATGAGATTAATAATTTAAATATGAGCAATTAAGTGTATACAGATGGCATATTTTACTACTTAAGTTTTAATGGCACTGGTATCTTGGACCAATGGGAGTTGAAGCGACGACGTTCAGCCGCACTGGGGCGGTCAATAATTAACCAATCACAATTAATTGTAAACGCACCGTAATGTCTATACGAAATTGAATGATTTTCGATAAAAATAATTTATTTCATCTTTTTGTGGTTTAAAATTTGGAAAAAAAAGAATTTGAAACTTCTGCCTTCTAAAGGCTCGGAACATTGTATAAATTCGCTGGGCAAAACAGTTTATATGTCATCATCATCATCATCATTATCAGCTCACTATATGTCCCCACGGAGGGGCTCGGACCCTACACTAAGTAAGGGTTACTAGGCCATATTCAAGTTTCGATGTAACGGTTCGTAAAGCGATGCGGGGAGGGAGGCACACTGCGCACACAGCTGAAATTGAGTCACCAAAAATATAGAAACGGCCAATACAAGTTCAAAATTTTATGGTATATTCCACGTTTAGATTTCAGTTTATTTCATTCTAAATTTAAAGGAACCAGGAAAAAAAAGATGGCCGGTTTCCCAGCTATATTAAACCATTTATTAGTTCTTTGGCTTCATAACTTCATAAAATGCGTTTCCGTACTACGTAACTAGTTTGAGTTTTACTCCTTTGAAACTTAATTCAATTTAAAACTTATGAATCTTACTAATATTAGTTATAAATGCGAAAGTTTAGATGGATGTTTGTGAGAGTTTGTTAGGGTTGAACGGATAACAATAAAACTTGGTATTGACGTGGAGGATAATCTGGAAGCATACATAGGCTACACACTTTTGTTTTTTTTTAATTCCACGCTTAAGAAATCGCGGGTGAAAGCTAGTGATAGTATAAGTGAAAACTCCAGCAATTCAGCATTAATGATTCAAACCCGTATTTATCGGTATTTTTTAAAACTTTGTATCTGTCTGTAAATATAGCAATAATGTTTATCTAAAAAGTCGACAACGTATCATCATCATTATCTCCTTATCCTACTCCCGTAGGGTCGCAACAGGTTTTTGTCCTCCACATAACTCTATCATACGTTATCTCAGTCATCGCTCCCTTTTTGATCATGTCACCTTTTACACAATCCATCCATCTTTTTCTAGGTCTACCTCTACCGATGTACTCTTCCACACTCATAACTAACGTTCTCCTTGTAACATGTTATTCATCCCTCCTCATAACATGCCCGTACCATGCTAACCTTTTACTCCTTACCTTCTCTACTAGGGGGGGGAGACTACTCTCAAACTTCCTCTAATATACTCATTTCGTATCTTATCCATTCGTGTTACCCCACACATCCATCTTAACATTCTCATTTCTGTCACATGTAGTCTCCTTTCATCCAGGACAAAGGTCAACAACGTATGTTCACTTCATCTGGATAACCAGATAGAAGCTCATAAGAGCTTCTATGATTACATACCTCTACGTTTACGTTGCTCGTTTACATTTTCTCTTATAAAAAAATAAAAAAAACTCGCATATTAATGGTTTTAAATTTATTTAAAGTAAAAAACGTCATAGGAAGTAATCCGTTAAATTAATTTCTTTCCAACAACTTGTAAGATTCGATTCGCTAGAGAGGGATATTGATATGAAACTAAGTTTAAAGAATTGTGCTTGGTTTTTTATAGAAATAATAGAAAAATCGTGATAATTCTAGAGGATTCCAATTTGATATATAAACACACTTTTTGCTCTTGAATTGTAATAAACAATAAAATTAAATACTTTGTGATTCACGCATTAAATACGGAAAGTTAGTTTTGAACTGATTGAATTCCAAGCGGATAAAGTCGCGGGGAATAGCTAGTTGGATGATAATTTTGATAATCAGGATTAAAAACGTTGAGTAATCGACTTTGGGTAAGATTTGTTTATCATTTGGTTTGTTCGTTCTTGATGGGAAAGTACCGGTTACATGAGTTTCCTATAAATTAGTGTTTTAAGCGTTGATTGAGAACACTTCATACTCGTGTGCAGCTCGCACGTGTCTACAATATTCTTTCGTTATTCTATAACAATGGCCAATAAATTTAATATAATCAGTTTAATTGTTGTTATAAGTGTTTACGTGTGTTATGTTTATGGGTTTCCGAAAAATAAACTTTATGGTGAGTTGTTAATTTATTAAAAAAATAATTTATAGCTACATATACTGCCTGTATTTATTTCTAAAAACTGTATGTATATTTAATTAATTAATTAATTAATGATTTTCTCTGTAATGATACTGATTTTGTGAAAGGAATTTACTTAATTTTGCTTAAATAAGTATAAATATCAGACATACCAGAAAAACAAGCTTATACTTCATTGAGCTAAAGGTTTACCTTGTACCGCAGGATGAAAGAAAAGAAACATCTCTGCCGCTTTAAACATGTCAGTAATATAAAACACTAGTTCTCGCACGCGACTACGTCCGCCTGAAAAAAAAAAAACCAAATGTGAGTAGCCTATGTGTTCATCCAGACTATCCCCTACATCTACACTAAAGTTCATCGAAATCCGTTCAGACGTTTAGGCTACAAACTCTAACAAACATCCATCCATCTATCCATCCATCCATTCATCTAAACTTTCGCATTTATAACATTAGTATGAAGTATGAAGTATGATAGTAAGATTAGTATGATTTCTTTCTAGATTTGAAACGTTACAAGTTCTATAGTCGCGAGGATTGGGGAGCGACCCAAGCGACTGATACAAGACCAATAGTGACCCCGGTACCCTACGTCGTCATACACCATACATATTTACCAGCGGCGTGTAACACCACACAGCAATGCTTTGACGCAATGAAATCTATGCAAGACTACCATAATAGTATGAGCTGGGGAGATATTGGGTACAAGTAAGTATTTAAAGACCGGATTTCGGCATCTATCTTTAACTTATACATATATTGCAGAAAATATATTGTTATCTACGTAGTGACTAGTCAAAGAATTAAATTCGCTACCCACTTAGGGCAAACTGTCACAACTGTAGCACTCAGTAAAAGATTTTGGTATGTTATGACAAATGATTGATTTGTAAGCGACAAAAAATTACATTAAACTAAATTATATAGGAAACACTGATCTCTATTAAATGGATAGGTTGTTGCTTAGAAATGGCAGCTTTTGTTTCGTTCCGATTTAAACGCGCCAGTACACGTCTCTGACAATTACATATCTATTGTTATTTCTAATCCTCTACGGTTATCAATCGCTATCGTTAACAAAATGGCAAAACTCACATAAGCACTAAAGTACAGTAGCAAAAATCTGCAGTATCCCACTTTAGAAAAAATAGAAGAATAGAATAAAATGGGAAGAAAAGAAAGGAAGGAAAGGAATAAGGTGAATAGAAACAATTAAATGATTAGAGAGCAATGAGTGGTGCAAACAAAGGGATAATAATAAAAAGAAACATCGGTCGGTTGTCGTATTGGTTTTGCTTTCGAGCCTCCTTTCAAAATGTTCAAATGATTGTAGCTTTCACGGTGGAACACCGACAGTATCCCCGACTGTACCTTGGCTTCTGTCCTATAGAAGTCAGTTTTAGGAAATAAACGTACCAGACAGGGCATACGTTGTATATATAGTGTTAAGAACAAATTTAGTACCGTGCTGTAGAATTGGCGCAACTCTAGATTATCGACATAAACGTTACGTCCCTAGCTGACAGCTGTCAATGTCACTAGAAGTATGGATAGATTGGCGCGCAACCCGAGACCTGGCGAGAAGTGTTGCTCTGAGTTTAAAGTGACAGTTTCAATTAAATAAGTTGTCTAAAAATAGGTACACGTGTTAAAGTGGTATTAAATATTACTGTATGCTTGAACGGCATGATATAATATGCAATTGACTATTATCTTTTGTATTTGTCGATAATTACAAAAGACGCAAGAACTTATCTACGGCGTCATTAAATGTCGCATCATCTTTTTGGTGAAATCCCTGTTTGTGATCAAACTTACAATCTGCTATCGTTTCCAATCTGCGTAAGCTGTAAGACTTTGGACGTAGTCATAAATGCATATCTTAATTATGATTAATGAGAAAATATTATAGAAATTATATTAACATATAGTATAATTTAAAAATTAAGTACCCCTTTGTAATTTTAATAGCAAAAGTACGTATTAGGTTTGCAAAAGTCAATATCTGTAGTTCAAAACTTACAAAACGCTTGGTACAAAATAAATATTACTAAAGTAAAGTACATTAAAATTAGACAAGGCATAACATTTAATTCATTACAGAAGTCTATGCGTCACTTCGCTACAGCCAAATCTAGTATCCGTTTGTTAGTTTTCCATAGTCAAAGGACTAAACTTATAACACGGCTCAACTCACGTGACAACCTTTGGTCTAGGCACCGACTGTTTCGAACCCGTTGGGGGTCCTTCTTCAGGTCACGAGATCGGCGCGACGCGATAGCGAGTATACCCAATTGATCACTCACCCTAAAGATAGACCACCAATACGTTCGAAACTGTCTTTGCCTACACCGAAGATTGTCACGTGAGTTTAGCCGTGTTATAAGTTATATAGTATAATGTTTTACGAAAGTTTCAATTAGCTTATTAGGCAAAGGACTATTTTAAAAAAAAAAACTACGTTTTTTGTTCAGTTTCTGCGTGGGCAGTAATGGCGGCGTGTACGAGGGTCGCGGCTGGGACATCGTTGGCATACACGCAGGCCGCGCTAATAACCATAGCTATGGCATTTGTCTTATCGGCGATTGGAGAGGTAATTCGCGCTGGATTTCACAAAAACATTCGAAAATGGGCAATATTTAATCAATTAATATTTTAACAGTGGCAACACCGCCTAAAGCGATGCTAGAATCGACAAAGCGACTCATCTCTATAGGAGTTCAGAATGGATCGGTCAGTCCCAACTACAAGCTGATAGGTCACAACCAAGTGATGGCGACAGAGTGCCCCGGGACTGCGCTCTTCAATATTATATCAACATGGGACCATTTCACAACAGACGTTACTGCTTTCAAAACAATTGTATCAAAAGATAATGTTAGCTAACAGTTTGAACATTTTATTGCAAAATAATTAGAATATTATATAATTAACTTACTAATTTATTTGTATTAATTGTAAGCTCTTATTTTATTAGAGTAAAAAATGTAATAAATGTCCAATATGATGTAAATAATGTTTCATTTAATCATTTATTAAAAACTAACTGTTCCCATGCGGCTTCATCCGCAGATTATTATAAAAACTTTATTTCATCGTTTACATTTGTCAATTTATCAATTACAAATGTCAAAATGATATGCCATGATGACAACCTTGCTTCCTTGATGTTGGCAGCAACTTATGGACTCTTTCCCATATTAGGTTTTTTATCCAAAATATTACCCCCTTAGTTTATTGGCGTGAAAATATATAGCGTAAAGCGTGACGTAAGTGTAGGGCTTTATATTAAAAAAAGGATTATTAAAAAATATGCTGTAATTGCTGACATCTTAGGTAACAAAAATGTGTGTTTAACCTTTATTATAATAGTATAGATGTTATTTGTTTTATTTCAATCTGGAAAGAAAAACCTAGGTGAAGCAAAATTGTATCAGTTTTAATCAAATTGTATAGTTAAAATTTAGGTGTGTAGGCAACATTACAACTGTTAATTTAACTGAATGAACTAAATAGTCAGACTGTAATATCTTAAGGTGTGTAAAGTGTTTTATGTTAGCGCCTGCGAAATGTTAAATCGCCTTTTAAAATTAATATTGTTTTGAATGAAACTTTGAACTGTCAAAAATCAATAGAAAATTACAAATATTTAGATAAAATATTAATAAATAACACTATGTTATTTAGAAGCATTTACACGCAAGAATGCTGAGAAATACTCTTATTAATCTGTAAAAAAACGTCGGAGAGGTAAATTAAGAAGTGCATTAAAAGTTATTCAATGTAGAACTACCTTCAATGCAAAAAGCATAGCACAACAAAAATAGTTGATAGCCGTATGAGTGTTCTAACCTCAAAATTTATATTCTTAAACGTAGATGAACATAAATTGGAAACAACAGTCGTAGATGAACATAAATTGGAAACAACAGTCGTAGACGACAACAACGCCATCTGTTGCAATGTGTTGCCGCTACAATACCACGACCATAGAAGGCACGTGAAGTAATTACGCGTTTCCAGAGTGTGGTGCCGGACGACTAATTTTAGTCTCTAAGTGGATTTGACGGAGGGGACGCAAAGATATTTCCTATTAAAGGTATGCAACGTATCTACAATTATGAATGAAAATGAGCAGTTTCTTCGTCTTTTCGGCTTTAACCCTTAATTCGAAAGTGTTTTTGGTAGCCAAAAAAAACAGATTTTTTTAAAAGTTATATTTTTGGATACAAAAAATAAATGTTATGATATGAATGAAATAGATTTTTTAAATGGCCACTTCAGGGGGATCTACCGCCTTAGGCGTAGGGACGGACCTCCCCCTATTTGTGGGTGCTGCCAACGGCAGCAGACGCAAGCCGGGGTCGAAAGCGTGCCCTCAGCCCCGGCTTAAGACGTTGGAGGAATCGAGGGATGGGTAATGGGTATGCCCCTCCATTATGGGGGGAGAGTCCCACATAACAACCCCCTGGGCGCGGAGTATGCGTAAGATGCAAAAAAAGGGTCAATGGCCACTTGTTCGTTTGACGCAGTATTATTAAAAAAATGCATTAACAATTTTTAAAAATGTATTTTTAAAACACATGAAAAGCATTTAAATTATAATGATAATATGTTTCTGACGAAGCTGTTCAGAATAATTTTGCTATGATGTAAGTGACCGTCAATCTTTTTTCTCGAACCGTTTGTTTACTGTGGAAAATTTTTAACAATTTTATGACAAGGTTATTTAAGCTAATGGTGGTTATTTTAACTCCTATTAGTTAAGATTACACTTAAAAGTAATAAGCATTTTTCATATAATTATGTCTAAATTAAACCGTAAAATTAATGGTTCCTTAATATTGTAGTTAATTTGCAATTAATTCGCAGACTTTAATATTTAATCGTGTTACATTATCGTGCATAGAAATTAAGCTTTAACAATACTATTCAATTCATGTACAGTCCGAGAGTTAAATGTTAAAAAATAAATAATGTAAATAATAAAATTATTCATAAGAATTATCTTATTATAACTAAAATTGAATAAATTTTAAATGTTTATGTTTTAGGGTCACCTCTGATAAGAGATGTAAAAACATCTTATTAAAAATTCCCCTACGCCAATATTTAAGGACATAATGAAATGGAAAATTAAAAATATTTGATCTTTTCGCTAAAAATACCCGTCGCGTAATTTAAAGTATTTTGTATTTATTGTTAAACGATTTTATTTTGAACTAGCTGTTCCCGTGCGGCTTCATCCGCATGAAATCATGAAAAATTTTTTTTATTGTTTACATTTGTCAAATTATCCATAGCAAATATCAAAATGACATGACATGACAAACCTTGGCAATCTTGCTTCCTTGATGTTGGCAGCAACTTATAGTCTCTTTCCCACATTAAGGTTTTTATCCAAAATATTTACCTCTAAGTTTAATGGCGTGAAAATGTATAGCCTAAAGCGTGACGTAAGTGTAGACATTTTTATTAAAAAAGAGTTATTCAAAAATATGTTGTTATTGCTGACATTTTAGGCAACAAAGAAGTGTGTTTTTACGCTTTATTATAATAGTATAGATTTGTTGTAATAAGGATTATGATTGCGTTTGATAAAACTGATTTTAAAAATCCGTAACTGAAATATCTTACACATAATTACACTGTATATTTAATAAAAAAAAGTGTTTAAATAATTTATATGATAAATTTTCTAACTATAATATATATTATACATTTTATTACATTAATTTTAATTTTAGATAATAATCTTAAACCAGTAACCTAAAAAAACGTTTGTCAAACACGTTTTTCTCAATTGAATTTTTTTGTTCTAATAAAATACAGTTTTCGTCTCGATCAATTCTCAGTCCGGGGAATAACCTTAGAGTTAACCAACAGCTATACATATAAGTGTGTGACTGGTATTCGATATAGTTGAGACACGACGGCGGCAAACATAACATCTCATACGCAATTTTCTCTTAAAACGCTTATTTTAATATAATTAATGGTAACAATTTTGTACGCGACAGTATGTTGTAACGTGTTTGATATAAATGTGCTTTAAACACTTCATAAAATCTAGTGAGTGTTTGATTATTTTTTTTTATTTTTTATGCTGCAGCTATCAAAGATTTCGATTTTGTCTGAATTTCTTTCATTACGTTATAATGTTTCTCATATTTTTTTAGCAATTACGTAAAAGAAATAGGTTAGCTGGACACGCTACATTATTTTTCTTCTATTTTGCATATTTACAACAGTTAAAACTTAAAAAAATAACAGGCCGAAGAGATAAAGATAATTTCCAGTTTAAAAAAAAAACAAATGATAAAAAGATCGATAACATTATCAAACAGTATCTTTGTAGTCTATAGGTGATTGTATTGTTGGTTTAAATTTGTTTTTTTTTCAGTGAACGCAGAAATGTATTCAATTGTTTTCGTGGCTGTGATTCTGGGGATCATAGGACTTACTATAGCAGTGCCGGCGTTACTATCTGGTAAGTTATTTTACTTAACGTAATCAATGGCATATTAACGTCGGCTTCCACAGACATAAGTAGGGAAATATGTCAAATATATCATCCTGATAAAATGATGCAAATAACAAAATTGTTCCGACCATTTTCGGGGTTGTTTCCATTGAAACCCATTTTTTACTGTTGGACTAAAATCAAGAATTTTATTTAAAATATAGTTTAAAACCATACTTATTTATTACATTTCTTAATATTATAAATGCGAAAGCTTAGATGAATGTTTTTGATTAAATACAACAAAGATATGTCTGGCAATAGACTAGAAGAACTAATGTATAGTATGTTTTTTTTCCGCGGACGGTGTCCCGGGCATAAGCTTTTTATATAAATATACCTTTTCTTTTTTTATATACAATTCCCCTAGCATGGATGCCAGAGTCTTCAATATTTCTAATACTTTCTCTATTGTTAATTACTTAACGGCTTACTCACGTCATACTTTTTTCCGGTGACGGCACCGACCAGTGCGAGGCGCAACGCGACCGCGATACAACATCTTTAACCCTCGCCCTGAAGAAGGACCCCCGCAGGGTCTGAAAATGGTCGGTGCCGTCACCGGAAAAAAGTATGACGTAAGCCGTTAAATAATCATACTAATATTATAAATGCGAAAGTTTAGATGAATGGATGGATAGATGGATGTTTGTTAGAGTTTGTAGCCTAAACGGCCGAACGGATTTCGATGAAATTTGTTAGATGTAGAGGACAGTCTGGAAGAACACATAGGCTACACTTTTGTTTTTTTTTAATTCCACGCGGCAGGAGTCGCCGGCGTAAGCTAGTTAACTATAAAATGTCTCACGAAAGTTTAAATAATTTAACTTTTCCTATTTATTGAGTAAATGTTACATTCTAATCGTTTATATAAATGAGGAAATTGTTACATTGGTATACTATGATAAAAATAGCTTACTATATTAGTTTCAGTTACCGGTTTCTAAACTAACAGACGTAAAATCTAATTATACGATTATCGTGAAAAATTACACGGTTTCTTTACATAACACAAGTGTACAATGAAGAAATTATAATTATAAAAGTATTTATGGTCAACCCGTGTTAAATAAAACTTTTTTTCGCTAATGGAAACCAACGAAATGTTACTAAATCGAATACGTAATAGACATTTATTTACAGAACCGTCCGAGAACGAAGTATTGACTTATGACTTTCCATTCGTAACACGATATCAATGGGGGGCGAGGATTCCCAAAGAGAAGACGACTCTACACACCCCTGTGCCATACGTCGTCATACACCACTCGTACAAGCCTGCTGCCTGCTACGACGCGGTACAATGCAAGAAAGCCATGCAAAGTATGCAAAACTTCCACATGGATGACAGGGAATGGTGGGATATCGGTTATAAGTGAGTATGTTTTTTATAACGGTATTTTCTTGTTCAAAATGGCCTGCGTCGTAGTTTAGATCTCATTTAGCTCGGAGTGAGGTCTTTAGAAAAATCAATAACGTTAAATCTAAATAGCCAGTAACGGGTAGTAGGGCAAGGTAGGGCAACCGCCCAGGGCGCTGGATATAAAGGGACGCTTAGGGCGCCATTCTTTGGGTGGGCTTGTATTGCCGTTAGGGGGCGTTGTAAATATCGTGTCCAGGGAGCTGATAATCTTAAATGGTCTAGTCATCCCTAGTTTAAGGTAGGCTCCGAGCATCTCTGTATAGATGATACTCCCATACAGATGTGTAGTGTACTGATGATGATGATGATGATGATGATGACAATTAAAATAGGAATAAAAATATCTGTTTTGTTGACATATTCAAGTCTCGTACACAACAAAAACTAGTACATTTAAGGAAATCAGCGACTTCCGCGCGATAAATATATAGTAAGGTCAGACAGTCTACATACATCGGAAGTTGTAAAAGTTCACATGTATTTTATAATATTTAGATTATATAAAAGTCGAACTGTATCTATGTAACTGCAACTAAATTAAAGTGTCATGTCGTCGAAGTCAGCCAAGTCAGCTGCCGTCACCAATCCTAGAGAATCGAAAATTTAAAAATAGATATATAAACTTCGAAATACTAAGGTGTACGGTTGGAGGGATTAAAGCTAGGTACATACGTATACAGAAATGACTCTCTAATTTCCATTTTCCCTCCTTCATTGGCTGGCAACGCTAAAACTCTTAACAAAATAAACCCTGGCTTCTAATCTAAAACATTTCAGAACTTTTAACATATAGTCTATTTTTATATAAGACTAGCTGTTGCTCGCAACTTCGTCCGCGTGATTAAAAAAATATAGCCATGTTACTCCTTTCCAATGGCGACGGAATTCTTGAAATCGGCCAAGTAGTTTTTACGTGACAGGAATGCATAGAAAAATACAAATCTTTCCTCTTCCTAACACAGAGGTGATTAATGACGCCTATGAACATCTGGAACACTACATATTTTATCTATCAACATAATCATGGTTTTCTATAGTTTTGCGGTGGGCAGCGACGGTGCCGTGTACGAGGGTCGCGGCTGGACAGTGCTGGGTGCACACGCCTTGCATTTTAATACCGTCAGCCTTGGCATCTGCTTGATAGGCGATTGGACAAGTCAGTATTTTACCTTATATTAACTACTAGCTGTCCCCGTACGACTTCATCCGCATGAAATTATGAACATTTTATTTTATTGTTTACATTTGTCAAATTATCAATTACAAATGTCAAAATAACATGACACGATGACAACCTTGCTGCCTTGATGTTGGCAGTAACTTATGGTCTCTTTCCCACATTAGGGTTTCATCCAAAATATTTATTCCCTGAGTTTAATGGCGTGAAAATATATAGCATAAAGCGTGACGTAAGTGTAGGGCTTTTTATTAAAAAAAGAATTATTAAAAAACATGGTGTAATTGCTGACATCTTAGGCAACAAAGAAGTATGTGTTTACGCTTTATTATAATAGTATAGATATACATAGATATAAACTATACATTTCTTTCGAAGTTTTTTCTGTATACAGAATGAGGGAATGTGATTGCTAATCATGTTTATCTATAACTTTTTCATATCAAATACATCATAGAGGAAAAGATAAGTGTGAAATAGTTTTGTTAGCCGGTAAATATATTAGTCACTAGCGGTCGCCGGCGACTCTGTGTGCGCGGGATTAAAAAACAAAAGCAAAGTGTTCTAAGCTATGTTGATATCTATCCCAAATTTCATCGAGATCTGTTCAGCGGTTTAGACTACAAACTCTAACAAACGTAAACTTTCGCATTTAAAATATTAGTAATGACTAGCTGTTGCTCTTGCTGAATTTAAAAAAGTTGCCTATTTTACTCAGTGGTTACATAGCTTTTTAATAGTGCAAGAATTTTTTAAATCGGCCAAGTAGTTTTTGAGTTATTTTAATACATACAAACAAACAAACTTTTCTTCTTTATATATCTAAAATATATTAAGGTTATCATAGTTACAGGCTCAGAATCTTTTTATAGGTATAATTACTGTACACCTGTCATTGTAGAATGGATTAACAGTAGTTAATCGTTGTTTTTAGCGACACTACCTCCGAGCCAGCAAATTAAAACAGCAAAGGCACTGATCGCAGCAGGCATAGACCTCGGATACGTCAAACCTTATTATAAACTAGTGGGTCACAGGTATAAAGAATTTATAATTTTTATTCCATATGTTTTAAAGCTCTTTTTTGAAGAACTTTAGTTTTAAAGAAAACATCTACAATCTTTTCTCTAAATGTGAAATTTCATTGCTGAAAGCCATGTTAAAAAAATTACTGTCATAAATCACATTAAGAGCGCACGCACACCTTAGACGAAACTATTGCACAACTTTTTAGTCTCACTTTGATCCTATGTATTAATAGAAGGTGCGCACACTACTCGATTTTGAGTCGTCTAATTAAACATCCGCACAACCTTAGTGCGATGGTTTAGTCAAAGTGTGCGCACGCTTTAAATATTATAACTGGGATAACAATATATTCTTGTAAAGGGATTTTCACAATAAACTGCATTAGAATAAAACAAGTTACGTTTATTATAAACTAGTTTTCGCCCGCGACTCCGTCCGCGTAGAAAATAAAAACAAAAGTAAATAGCCTATGTGTTCTTCCAGACTATCCTCTACATCTGTACCAAATTTCATCGAAATCCGTTTAGCCGTTTCGGCTACAAAGTCTAACAAACACCCATCCATCCATCTAAACTTTCGCATTTATAATATTAGTATGATGGAATAAAATGAAATGGAACAGCTTAATCATTTTATTTGCCAACAGCAATCAAAAATGTATCTTTTTTGCAATTTTTTAATCTTTACCAATGTAATCCTTTTCACAGACAAGTTCGTGATACAGAATGTCCCGGGGATACATTGTTTAGCAATGTGAGGTCGTGGGAACACTACGTCTCCTTCCCTGCCACGTATCGGGACCTTTTGCACGTGAAAGAACTCCCCAAGGAAATAAGGGATAAACTGGCTAACGGAAATGGTACTCATATAGAAATATAGTTTGTAATATTTAATATTTACGTATACAAATAAAGTTCCTATAAGTTTGATGTCTTTTTTAACATTTAAGCACCTGTTTTTATAAATTGGGTTCAATAAAATTTTTAACTAAAATAAATTAAACATTTAGAAGATCAAGATTTTCAGTCGCGCTATTACATGCTAATGACTAGTGATGGGTAACTCAACTAAAACTGATAGATAGATCAGCTCACGGTTCATATATGAAATGGATCAGTAAACCGGCTTACAGCTCAAATTGTGAGAATCAAAATGTTGGATGAAACTTAATTTCGTTATAATTACGTTCCAGAGAATGTACTTCTTTGAGCTATGTACTTTAGTACCTCTTTTTAGTCCATTTTAGGTTCTTTTTTGCAAGTGTTACAATTTAATTCGCTATATATACCCGCCATTTTGACTCTCTTCAAAGTGCATCGAGGTACGATGTGCGTTTCAAGCTGAGAGCTACTAAATCATCGTTTTGCATAGGTCAGTGGTGACAAACCACTGGCACACCACATAATATTTTGGACACGTCGCAAGGTGCACCATGGAATTGACGTAATAATCGCAGTCACAACTATTCGATTACCGTGTAATAGCCCATAAAACATTTCTTTTTAAAAAATGGCACTTTGATGCAAAAATGTTTGCCACCCTTGGTATAGGTAATGCATTAAGTGTCAACTTAGTTGTAGAACTGCAGCTCATTAGTTAAATTTTATGATCTGGTCATATCAGTGAAACTAATGTTGTCTCTCTTATGTCAATAAGAATGAAAGAGACGGCAATATTTATTAATAAACGTGTACTAGAAGTTGTAGCGATAAATAAAAGTCACAACTATACATCGATTTCCACAAATAATTTTTATTTCAAAATATCTCCTTAATTAACAAGTTGGAAGTTATAAATTATTCGTTACACAATTTCTTATAAACGATTAATTAAAAATATCTCGAGTTTAGTATTAGGATTTACAATATATTTGACACAGACGTGTTTTTAACACCGTTTAAGCTAGGCTTGAATCTGTTTGTTATATTTCTGTTTGATATATAAATATAAGAATATACTATTTACCAGAGAGCAGACGCAATATAAGAAAGCCTTCACAATAAACATAGACAATATTAAAATTACATTTAGTCGTTTCAGAAAATTACCGATATCATTACACAAAGCTGTTTTAAATAACAATTTGTTAGATCTCCACTGGGCTCACAGCGTATCCAAGTTAAGGGTGACCAGGACTTACTGATCAGTGCAGTTTGAAATTACAGTAACTATAATATTAAAAGCATCCGCATAATTGAATATTAAAACAGAAACTTAAATTAAAATAACGACTAACACTGACTACCAAAATTAAGTCCCTTTTAGTATGCATAGTAAAATTTATTTCTTCTTCCTTTGTAACCAATTTCCAATTCCTCACAGTTACTTCTATTTATTAAAAGAAATAAATTAAAGAAGTACAAAATACTAGCAAATTGTTTAGAATAACAGTTATAGTTAATGTTCAAACATCTTGGCAGTTCGGACACACGCCGCGTCACAGAACACAATTTTAGATGTAACTATAAAGGGATGTAAGAGCACAACGCAGCTGAAAATCCATCTCTCTCGGGGGCCCTTATGCTTTCTCGGGGCCCTTGTGCTTAGTTACTCCATGGAGCGTCCACCGAAGCGATCTAAGAGCTCGGTGACCTCCCAATCCGGTAATAATAACGAAGTAACGGCTCGTGCCGTCTCCTGAGGGAACCCTCGAGCTTAGTTACTCATAAGCTTTTTTTGTGATTCAAGCCCGGGGAACGCCTTGATATCATAATGGAAAATTTTGTATCAAGAAATCTAGGTCCGTGTATGTATACATGTTACCTATAACCTATAATTATAATAATATAAATATACTATTTATTATAAAGGCAGACATACACGTAATGATAAATATTTTATAGGTATACATGGGTAAATATGTCATCGTTTTTCCAATTGATATGAGTTTTTGGATATAATTAAAATTGGCCATTCAATTGATATATTTTTTTTAATTTGTACCTAGGTAGTTGATACGAAACTTAAGATTTTAGATATTTATAATTGATTTTATTGTTTATTATTGACTTATAGCTTTCATGTTGACAATTTTCTATACAATATTCGTTCTTGAGGCTCCTAAGGTGGGTTGTGAATTAATTTCTTTGACTATAAATGAATTTATTCAGTGTAAGCTGACGGTTATTTCCTTGGATAGAGTGCTAAACGGCACGTGTATCACAATATTGACCATATAGTGTACTTCCCCGACACAATATGTTCAGAAAACGTAATTATATGTCATACTAGACTAACTGTATATTAAAAAACATAATTTGTTTTATTGATAGACTATGATGAACTATAAACAGAGATTGTATTACGTAACAGTAAAACTAACAATATTGTTAATAGGTACACTGAATAGGTGATGATGATGAGATTTCTTCACCATTATACAGAACATGTCTAGAATTAATCTTGCTTGACAAAAGTGGTTCTAATTTTAAAAATTCTTTACATTTAGTTTGTAAATTTCATAATCTTCCTTTCAGTATTAAAACTATTAAACAATATATAAATGATTTAATTTATAAAATTTGTTATTTGATTCATATATATTTGGAAAACATCAACAGGATATTAATAATTTTTAAAAAGGCACGGAAGGGGTAGTTTATATTTGTGGCAACATTCTATGTAGATAATTAAAAAAAAATATTAAAAACGGACATGAAACTACAAAAGCTTGTTATTTATTGAAGTAATTAAAAACGTATTTTTACTATTAAAATGCTCATTTTTTTTTAATTATTCAACATATGCATCATTATTATATATTTTTATAAACATTTGAATTTAAATATGGCCATTGGAAGGCAAAAGATCATAAAATAAGCTTAGTAACACAATATTATAAATAACATCATATATAAATATTAAATTTTATATAAATCTCTTTATTATAAATAATCTTCATATGTTGGACATTAGTAGATAGATTTCTCAATGCAGGTAAAACTACGTATTTCATATACCTTCTTCTAAGTCGTATGTTGGTATATACTCCAATAATAAATAAATCATTATGCATTTCTAGAATAATTAATTATTCGATTTTTTATAACAATATAATATAGTTTTAGTTATAATTATAAAAGGATTTTTAATGCAGTATTTTATTCGTTTATTCCTTTCGACTAAAACAGGCGTATTATGTACTTCAGATTTTAGAAAACTATTGTGTGTACAAGAGTCTAGTTTCTAAAAATTTTAGAGCAATAAGTCTAAAGCATTCTATATACAAAGATGTTGTGTATATTACCATTTGTGTGTCTTGCCATTTGTTTATGAATGTTTTATACAGAGTTTGCACTATCCAAACATTTACACCACATATCAATGAGAACCATTAGGGTGGTTGCTAAGCGGCCGCCCAGGGCGATGAAAAGGGCATCACAGGTCTCCAAAGCTAAGCTACATAAGCCCGTTAAACTCCACCAACCATAAAATACTAAAAATAGGGCCTAGTACAAGTCTCGCCCAGGGCGCCAATATCGATAAAACTGGCAATTAACCGGCAATAACTGAGACTTTGTTGGTCGGTTTACGACTATGTCTAAATATAACTAAATATATAGACAATGCAAACGGTGGGTATTCCTAAATTGAAGGAATAATTAGCTAACAGGGAATTAAATTGTTACTCGTACAACAAATATCTCCCATACGATTCGTTATTCGTCAAGTTATAAATGTCTATTCTTAATATAAGGATATAGTATTTATTTGTTCTCTATTAGTGTTTGTACTTGTAGGACTAAGTCTCTCGCTAGCGAGAGTACCGCGGATGCGTCGTGACGTTCCGCCATTTCTGAAAAAAAAAAAAATACTTCATTATACTCACGGCACCTTCGATATTGTAAACTATACCAATGTTATAAAAAGGAAAGATTTTTATTTTAATATTTTTGTACATATTGAAATAACTCAAAAACTACTGGGCCGATTTAAAAAATTCTTTCACCGTTAACAACTTTCGTTAACAGTAAGTAACGTAGGCTAAGTTTTTTTTTTTTAATTTCACGCAGACGAAGTCACGAGCAATAACTAGTATGTCATAATATGAACAAGACAAATTTACCAACATATCCAGCGGTTTCATACTACTTAACTAGTTCCAGTGTAACTGCCTCAGTGAGAGTTATCATTTTGCTGTACATATCCCAGCACTAAATAATCTCACCGTTAAAGAACTTGATGATGTCAGTGAAGTCCATGGAGTTGGCGAGGATGACGTCACGGTAGGTCTCGAGCAGCGCCAGCGCTATGAACAGCACCATGTGCTCGGAGGCCGCGTGCCGCGCCGCCCAGATCAGCTCCCACGCCGCGAACACCTGCGCAACACTCACATTAAATACATCATCTTTCCCCTCTTATCCTACTCCTGTAGGATCAGTGCAACAGGTTTTCCTCCAGATAACTCTTTCTTCCGTCACCGTAGTCACTCCCTTCTTGGTCATATCACCTTTCACGCAATCCAGTCATCTCTTTCTAGTCCTACCTTTACCTGTACACCTCCACACTAACTAACGTTCAGCCAACCACCACCCAAGGCCCCATTGACCTTTGGGTCATACGGGCCGAATCGCGAATAATAATTAACGTTCAGAAATACAGAATACAGTTCGAAAATACAGAAATTCCATTAAGCATCAATTATTAGTAGAATATGACACGCTTTTTAAAAACCAGTAATTAATATACTTTTTCATCTAAATCCCTTTGCTTCACTCTCGGCGAATGAATCTATCTTATAATCAAATAATGAGAAAAGACAGTAGTAACTCACATCTTGGTAGAGAAGTTCCCGCTTGAAGTCGAGCAGGAACCAGCGGTAGCAGAAGTAGAAGTGTGTGTAGTCGCCGTGCGCGTGCATCAGCTCGTACAACTCGCAGTCCAGGATCTGGATCAACGATCTGAAGACGCAGTATTAAGAGGCATAAGAAATCATTAGACTTTCAATTTTTACCCAAGATTTAAAAATATCTTTTAAAAAGTTTGATTGCCATTCGGTCTTATAAATGCACCGTCAGTTTTCTAAAAGCCCAATAGTACTACTGGAAATTAAGTAAACACTCCTTAAGTCTTAATAAAATCTTTTTTTCTTCTTTCTTGTATTCTAAGTATTGTGTGTATTTACCTCATATCTGCGAAGTGCGCGTCCATCGCCTGTCCGGTGGGGAAGTTGTCCTTGGCGCGGCGCATGAGGCGGGCGAAGAGCGCGTGTGCGATGGCCTCCTCGCGCATGGTGACGAGCAGCGGCGCGGCCAGGTCGCACATGCCCTGCATGTAGCCCGTCTCCAGGTGCTCCCACACGTAGCTGTAGACACAAATATAAAAGGGATATTTCATTAAGTGACTGCGTATAATGGAGCTATAACATGGATGCTATAAAATGGTTTTCACTAGCGAAAAACTAGTGGCAAAAGGGTCTTAGAAAAAATTAAGTTGACAAGTTTCATAGAGAAATAATGATAATGACTATGTTATAAATAACGTCTACATAAAAAGTTATTATTCAAAAACTTACGTGCACATTATATTTCTCAATTTATCTAAATTCTCGTCGGTGAAAAATGGGTAATTTCTATCGCACCTCTGTACGTCCTTTTCTATTCTGTGTAAATTCAAAGCAAAGCTTTCCACCAACTCATTCTGTAACATCAAAAACATTTAATGGAGTCGTAACTTTGTACCACAACAACAAAATTTTCAGAAAAACTCACTGAGTAAACTCCGCCATTAGAACTAGCTGGTGATACGCAATTAGATCTGTTGTCCGGCCGCGCGTCGCCGCTCGGCTCCAGAGTGTCGAAAGACGCTCCCGCAGACTGAGATTCCTCGCGAACTACACCCAAAGGACTTCGAGCAGGACTCACATTTGCTGGAAAATTTCAATAATTTAATTCAATTAGTAGCATTAACAAATAATAAATAGCTATTTTACTTAAGTACTGTACATTGCATTTTAAATCTTCTATGAAGTAGAATATTATTAAGAATAAAGAATTTAAGAAAGTATTTTACCTGTTGTTCCTCCAGATACAGGTGATCCAGATGCAGCTAAATCCACGGAGGGATTGGTGATTATCACACTGGCGTGCTTCTGCTGCGGCGGCTGGCTCTCCTCTACCGGCTTGAAGTCGTTACCATTCATCGTCATATTGCCACTATCCACGCTGCATAACAGTCCTCGCCCATCACCTTTCTGAACAATTCCCTCTGCCAGCCTCTTTATTTCAGCTATACTTTCCCGTCGCATGTCAGGATTTTCAACGACACTCTTAATGTACACTTCATCGTCGTCGATATCATTTAAACTGTCTACATCTACGTGCTCTTTACTATCACTGGTACCATCAGTCTCTCCGTTAACTTTGCTATCGTTCCTTCCTTTCTCTTCTGAATCCATTTCAATATTTTCAACTTCGTCTATACTCGGTGCTCGAGATAGCACTGGCTTGCTGTCCGGTTTCTGTTGTTCCCTTTCACTCGGTTCCGGGGATACTATTGGCGGATTATCCGATATGACACTGCAGTCATCTTCGAATACCTGAAAAAAAAAACATTTTAAGTAGTATTATAGTAACATTAGTAGTATTCTACTAGTATTATATTTCATTCCATTTCATTTACTTCTCCGACTTCCACCGCTTCAGTGGCTCTTCCAGCAGCCTCTGTGAGCCGCGCTATAGAGGCAGCAGTGGCTTCTCTGTCGCGTTGCTTCACGATGGCTTCAACACAAAGCCACTCTGACATCGTGGTCTCATATTGACGTCTGCAAGCCGCGTCTTGTTCGTTCCTTTGCTCTGTTGTTGAACCAAATCTGGAATTTAAAAAAGTTGTATTACTGATTTTACCTTTAGGATCGCCTAAAGAGTAATAAATGTATGATGAACAATATCACCTATATCTTTAAGACAGAGATCATCGATTGGACAAGCTATTTGACGCTATTTGTAACGCTTTTTTCTATTACTCCTAACAAATATGCATGTAGGTTATACTCTACAAAATGCCTGCCACAGGTATAATATAGTACGAACTCGTAATATCCCAGCAGATAGGGCCAGACTTCGCGGCGTATGTTCTGCTGCACGCCGCCGCAGTACACGAGGCGCTGCACCTCGTCGCGCGCGTGCACCGCGCCCGCCGCGTCCCGCAGCGACGCCCATATCTCCTCCGTCAGACCTGACTCAGCCCCTTCTGTAATTATGACATTCATTCTTTAATTATTCATCTATATAAGTAGTGTGAAGCATTAGTGGGGACTTAAGTACTTGACTTGTAATGCAGGTACTGGGTTCGAATCCTACCGTGTAGATACATTTGACGTTCTCACAGTGAAGGAAAACATCGTGATGAAAACTGAACATATCTGCGAAGAAATTCAAATATGTGTGTAGTCTACCCGCAGTGCATTGTAGTTTACTGTGACCTAGGTACTCCCAACTTAGGTCAGGCGCCAAGTTCCTCAGAGAGGTCGTGAATCGTCTGATGATGTGATAATATTCTATAATTTTTTTATAAACATACACACCTGTAGAAATGATATTAGGATGAACTAATCCACTGAGATGCGTCCGTACTGTAGACAAATGTCTGCAATACGCGAGCCAGCCGTAAAACGCACGCGAAATTATCTGACGCCGCATCGTACTGCACACCAACTCAATCGACGCAGCCTGGGAAATACATTAAGAATTAACTACAACACAAAAAGCAAGTTATTATTTAATGGAATTATTGAGTCCTAAAACATATAAATTCAGACTTCAGAAACTTGCATATTTTATAAACCAATTTAATCTTACTAATATTATAAATACGAAAGTTTAAATGGATTCTTGTACGTTAAAATTTGTAGCCAAAACTTCTCAACGGATCTGAATGAAATTTGGCATGAATGTAAAGGTGGTTTATTTAATTCAGTGAGAAAAGAGTCGGGTGAAATCTAGCATCTGTAATTTTCTGTGCGTTTTCTGTCTCCTTTATGATTTATTACCTGTTCAATAGGTGGAATCTGTGCTGGTGTGGGTGGTTGTCCATTGATGACGGCTGAGGGCGGACAGTCCACGGACATTGTGGAGGAGTCCGATGAAGTGGTGGAGGTGGAGGCGAGCGGACGACGCGGCGTCCTCGGAGGAGACTGCACCGCGCGCTCGAGCAGCGAGTGACGCATCGCTGAACACAATTACGAGTACATAGTATTAATTATTAACTACCATCAGAATTTTTATTTACACGATAAGAAATCCTTGGTATAAATTTTGAATGAGAAATTTATACTAAATGGTATTCAAAGCGGTGTAACTAATTAATCGTTACTATCGAGATGACAACATCATCATCAACTTGTCCTTGTCCCCTTATAGGGCAGTATGTACTGTTCTTCTATACATCTCTTACAACCGTCATAGCTGAACCACTCCCTTCTTAAGCATCTCTTTCACACATTCCATCCATTTCTGCGGTCTTCCTCTACCTTTGTAAGATGATAATATAACGAATTTCGAGGAAACGCCTCCGCCAGAAATATTTTTTTTTATTTGTCAGATTCTGTACATTAAGTGTATAAAAATAGAATTTTATTTATCTACCTTCTCTATCAGCGATTGCATTATTGACAATACGGAACACGTAATCCCCAGCCACGTCCTCCCACTCGGTCTCCTCTGTCTCCCCACTCTCACAGAGACTCGGCATCGGTCGTCGTCGACTTTTACCACGACCAAAAACCTGTAATCATAATTATTGGTAATCGAAAAAAGAAACTCTTTTGTTTTGTTCATGGTCTTCACGACAATAATATGGCTTCTAGATTTCTAGAAGCCATATTACTGTCGTAAATTTTCTTTATACCTTGCCAGTTCCTCTCTGCGACCACAGAGGCGGGTCTAACTGACCGTGGGGAAGAAGACCAGTTTCTAAATTACTCAGAAACGAAAGAAGATGACCTCCTGAAAATATCGAATCATTAGAAAACGTTTCTATTAAAGATATATGAAAGCGACATAACTTATTGCTAAAATAGAACATACCTTTGGGAAAATGTATCGGTGGTCGCTGGACGCCATCTTGTCCGACCAGTATGAGAGCGTCACTAGCGCGTGCTCGGTGCACGTGTACGTAGACTACCTCCCATACGCACACTTGGAGTGACATTGCCCAGTACACGCTGGACAAATATATACTACAATTTACCACCTATTCTATATATTCATATTAATAAGTTTTTTTAGTCTGTATTCAATCAAACAAGTTCTTCCTTTACATCTCTTGTCCACGTATTCTCGACATAGGTATGTCCTGTTATCTCTATTGTTTAAAAAAGTCAGCAGTCAATTTCTTATTGCAAGCAATCATTTTATTTAGATTTTGAAATATGAAATACGACTTATATAGTAGTCAAATGCAACAACTTATAACAGATTTATAGTTAAAAAGGTAGATCGAAATTTCTGATAACTCAATAACGTAGATACAACAATAGGAGCGGGCGCACAACTTTGACTAAACCACACAACTGTTGTATTATTGATTGTTCCACAGCCAATTCAACTATTTAGTTGCACAACTAAAAATCGAGTAATGCGTACCTCAATAGACTCATAGCAATCAAAGCGAGTCTAAACAGTTGTGCGATAGTTTAGTTTCAAGTGTGCGCACGCTCTAAAGCTACAAAATAAAAACACAAAGCAAGCAACATACCAGTCTATACAGAGTGGGCCGGCGCAGCGGCGTCTATACACGCTGCACATGTCGGCCACGCTGCACAGAATGCACGTGTGTTGGCAAGCGGACGTGTGCACTAGGTGCCAACGGTAGCTACACAAACATGCACTCTACTGCTCACGGAATACAGTCTACTTTAGCTAACATTACAAAGGCTTTTACAAATATGGATAAATCGAAATAAACATAGAATAGATTTACTTTTGGGGCATGAAATGATACGTTGTTTTATTAACAACTATTTTAACTGTGATACTGTTCATAAGACTCAGGGCCTGTCCCACCACCGACTGATAGAGGATCATTTAGCTTAAAAATGACGTCACTGTCAGATAAGGGAAAAAAATCCGATGTTTCCATCACAGGTTTTACACGTTGGATTGTTATCAGACAATTTATAAATTAGTAGGACAGGCCCTTAATAATTATTTCTCAAGCAATAACGAAAATAAGGTATAACATTGTGGAAAAAAAACATTTAAAATACGTGTCTTGTAATACAAGAATAAATAATTAACTACTACGAAAATTGAAATACTACAAGGCTTTCAACTAAACAAAACACTGCACATCTATTAACAAAGTCTTAAATTAAAAAGTAAACTAAAATAACATATATATGTACCTTTTATCCACCCCTTCACTTTCCGCATAACCGTTCATAAGTTGATTAGGCGTCCACTTAATAACAAGACCAGCTGCCGTTTGATGCAAACTCAAATACCCGGGCATTGGTTCTTCCACGTCTTTCTATAAAAGAATCAAAGAAATAACAAATCAAGACATCCCTCACACTGTTTTGCGGTTATCAAAACTGTAGCCCAAGACTTCATACGCGCAGTATTAAAGACATACGAACTATCACACGAATATTATAAATGCGAAAGTTTAAGTAAATAGATGTTTGTTAGAGTTTGTACCCTAAACGGCTGAATGGATTTTGATGAAATTTGTTATAGATGTAGAGGGTAATCTGGAAGAACACATAGGCCACAGTTATTTTTTAATTCCACGCGAACGGAGTCGCGGGCGAAAGCTAATGAAAAACAAACACATCCCTCGTAAACCTGACTTTTCGGGGATGAATGAAAGAATTATTGAATAACCATGAAAGTCCAGACTTAATGCACGGGAACCGTAACTATTTCCGGGATCAAAAGTAGCCTTAGGGATCAAAAGTATTCTTCCAGACTATCGTCTACATCTATGACAATTTTCATCGAAATCCGTTCATCAGTTCAGCCAACTAACAAACATCCATCTAAACTTTCGCATTTATATCAGTAAGATGTAACATATATGACAGATAAATTATCTAGAGAACTTACTGGTTGGACTCGGACATTATTTTTCCCATATAACAATGTCGCTCGAGAATTTTGATGTAAACTTTCCACGTAGTCTTTAGCACTCGATCCTGTCGCACTACCTGTAGCTAGAATTGCAGTAATAAAAATTGAAATCTAGCAACGAAAGATTACTTCAACCTAAAAACGGTATTGGAACAATTTGTTCAACAGTTGACGTTTATGAATGTGAACATTTTATCTGCTACTACCCTCTAGTGAAAGTCCGATCGAAATCGGCCCAGCCGTTTTGGAGATTACCCGGAAAAGACGCGGCTTGCGCACAGACAAACAGACAAAAACTTTTTAAAGGGAATTTTTGTTATCAGCAACATACATCTTCCCGAAATCTGTGACTTTTCTTTTGATATTACATATATACGGAAAAAAGTCTTTTTTACGAAACCGACACGAGAGAAAAAAGCGCTCTCTCGTGTCGTAGGCCAAGAACCTTTGGGTCGCTGCGCCAACGCAACAAGTATAGATATAGATAAATAAAGGCCTGAAGGTTCGTTAAATAATATATTGGACAATTTAAACTCAATTGTCAATAACAACTTTAGTCTTTAGTCCGGTGTTCGTGATAGAGAATTAATTAATCGAATAATCAAGTACAAAAGCGCTGTGCCAATGTTTAAACTAAAAGTTATTAATCTTCGTAATTTAGAAGTTACAGAGAACTGGTATCTTATTCTATTTGTGATTATTTCTCCTTTAAACAATACATGTTTATATAATAATTATTTCTTCAGTTGTCAATTTTGTATTTTATAGTTTCGTCGCTTCTTTATTTACAAAATATATAATTAATTAGCCATTGTTCGCATCTTCGTCTGCGTTGAAATATAAATTGTAATAAATATAGCTATTTATCGATGAAATAATTCGGCCCAGTAGTTTTTGAGTTATTTCAACACATACAAAAATAATTTAAAAACACAAATATTTTGTCTTTATAATATTATTATAGATTAGTTTTTGTTTCAAACAGTTAACATGCATACCTGCACTAGACCCACTAGTATCGTCCGAAGACGCATTCAAACTTCTTCTAAAGTTAAGTATTGGGCGTCGCACTGAAGGTGGCGTTGTTGTGCCGGCGGACATACGATGCCTTTGTACCTGCGACGTTGATCCATAAAAAATTATCACATACACAAGAGATATGCATACTATTATTGTACAGTCGTGGAAATTCGCAGTATTCCACTTTAGGAAAAATTGCCTTTCATTGCAACGAGGCAAACTCCGCCTCTTCTTACAATTAATTAAAAAGCTGTGAATGCAAACAAATAGATAATAATAAAAACAAACTAGCCGTGTATCAATATTTTTCGTACAGTCACTTTCAAAAGCTGCGTCGTATTTTGTACTGCGTCTCGTTTCAAAATGTTCAAAACGATTGTAACTTTTAAGATGGAGCACCGCCAGTTTCCCCGATTGTACAATTTACAACCAATTTCTATTATTAAATTTTTAAAATAACTTCGATGTATGTATTACCCTTACCAATTCATCAGCGGGTGGATCTGTCCAGAAACAAGCAGGGGCCTTCGCTTTGGAATATTCTAGTGCGCAAGGCCCTACCAATAATGAACTCAGTATACTGCCGTAATCCGGATCGGCGACCAATGCGTCCCTCTCATAGTACCTCGTCGCGTTGTTCACTAAGTGTTCTATTATCTTCGCCAACTGCCTTTCGAAGAGAGCGATACGTATCCAGAGATAACTGTGAACAGAAAATAAAATTTTAAATTGCAAACAAGCTAAAAGCTAAACCACTTATGGGTTTCCGAACTTTAAGCATTCGATAGTATACTATACTAATATTACAAAGAGGAAAGATTTGTATTTATGTATGTAACTGATATTTAAATGTTTCAAAACCTACTGGGCCCATTTCGTAGCTTACGACTACGAATACGTAGCCTTTAATGGTGGAAGAATTTTGGAAATCGGTGCAGTCGTTTTTAAGTTATTTTAATACATAACTACAAAAATTCAAAAATATAAATCTATTCTCTTTTTAATATTAGTATAAACAAATATTAAATATGAATAGATGCCAAAAATTTCTCTGTAACGAACAAAAACCAATGCAAGGTTATTAATGTTATTGTTTCAGTTTACGATCTATCATAAACTGACAATAAAGTGGCGCGGACAGACGGAATTATCCGCAACATTAATGATAAAGAAATATCCGCTTTACTGCTTTTGTTTCTCATACAAAAGCATAATAAAGACGGATGATTTATAATAGAAAGAAAAGTACTTCATCATCCACTTACGTCCCCACTGAGAAACTCAAAGCCTATCATAAGTTGGGAGGGGGACTGTCAATGAGTTTTACAGTCCCCCAACTTCCAACAAACAATATTACATGTACCTTATGTACATGGTTTTTACCTTGTAATACCTGTAAAGAGCTGGGTTATATTTTATTAACCAATCTAAACTTAACACCAATAAATTATCCGTATACCAATAAGACATGTGCAGTCTCCCATCGATTCTCACATAAGCGATGATTATCCAAACTACACTTGAATTATCCAAAATCATTATCCGGCTCGAAGGACCATGTTTGAATAAGAATAATGATAGACAGGAGTTGTCAATTTAATGTGAAAATCATTTTTAGTTAAACAGGATAACAAGTGACATATGACGATTTCATCCTTTTTTGAATATTTTCTTTTTCAATCATAAACATGGACTAGTACTTTGTCAATAAAAATAAAAAAGATGTTTTTATAAAGAGTCTACAGAATTGACGACATAACTAGTAATCAACTAATTTACTACATAGATTTTTTAATGAACATAACCTCAAAAATGAATTCTACATGTTGAGCACCAATAAAAACAGCTAATTTTGAGTATTAAAAATTTAATTTTTTGGTTTACAATCTTTTATGAAGCAAATTACAAAGGTAGTTTTCTCTTCGATTTAAAAGTATGTGAAACTATTATTAACCTAAACTATATTTATACGGTTTCACAAAATTAGTCGAAAAACTTCAGTCAAAAACAAAACCATTGTAGAAAACTGGAAGACTAATCTTTGTAATAAATCATCTCTCGAGGAAAATCTTTGCAATTTATAATATTTCATCAAAAAATCTTAGCTCAGAAAATCTTAAGACGTAAAAAACGTTAAGCGATTTATATAGTTATGAAAAAAGCCTTGATTTAGTAAATATTATTTGTCGCTTTTACAAAAATAAGAACGTTAAAACGAACATTTTAGTAGCCTATAAATACTTTAAATATAACACTGACATAAAAACGCTTACCATAATGCAGAAAATATGGTACAAATTTATAGTGCAGATTAGAAAGTGATGTTATAAAGAAGTCCATTAAAACTAAGAATTTTTATATTCTTAAACTACGGCGGATATTACAAGTAAGTTCCCTTCCCGAAAAAAGAGTTTAAGACAATGTTGTTCAATTTTCTTTTAAGAAAATAAGATAAACTTACAACGATGACATAAAGTTAAGCCAAGTTAAATCTTGCTAATTCTTACTTCTTACCAATCTTACTGCTATTATACATACGAAAGTTTAGACGGTTGGATAAACCTATACTATTATAATAAAGCATAAACACACACTTCTTCGTTGCCTAAGATGTCAACAATTTTCTCCTCTTTCGTCGTGACCGTGGTGCTGTGCGGACGTCTACAGTCGCTCCGCAATAAGTTATTATTAATTTCTTAAAAACAAACACATATTAAATCGCACACAAGCGCAATGTTAACAGTGTAGTATGCAAATATAGGCGTTGTCAGTGGTGAGTAACAACTATTACGTAACACTTACTCAAAGAATCAAGCCGGCCCACTAACATGCAACTGTCCATGCGGAAAGAGTACATCTATTAACAAAAATAATTGCCTTCCTACTCGTGCGCATCAAGGCCACGCCCTTATTTCAATTAGCTCGCACCTGTCGCACCTGTGTGTAGCGGGCTGTCGCACACAAGCACAATAAATAGGCCTACAGTGCATTGATTGTGCGCCGACGGCAATATGACCGGCTCAACTGATCGCTCTTTAACTCCGAGATCTGAATCAGCTTCGCGTTCTGCGACCGAATCGACTTCATCAAAAGGTCCAGAGGAAAGGCACGATAAGTCACAAGCGTTTCAGCGCCCGCACACTAGAAAGCGATGCGCTGCCACGGAAGACAAAAGTGAATTGGCCGCCTTCAAAGAAGAAATTAGGAAAATGATGTCGGATATGACTAAATCACAAAGCGCGCGGCTGGATAAATTAGAAAATCACCTCATGACGGTGAAATCTCAAGTCGAAGCCCACATGAAAGAGATAAAATCACAAGTCGATCAATCCAACCAAGAGATTGGAAAAAGTCTAGACTTCCTAACGGAACAATTAAAAACCTTTGAAGATAAGATTTCTACCTTGGCTGTGGAGCGAGGCGTTCTAGAAAAACGGACAGTGCTTCTCGAAGAGCGATTAGATAACATGGAACGATTTTCTCTAAAAACTGCCGTCGAGATAAGAAATGTCCCCAATAGGCAAGCGGAATCCAAACCCAATCTCCTCCAGGTCTTTGAGAACCTAACTAAAACTCTGAATGTTCAAATTCCGAAGACTGAACTCATGGACATGTACCGACTGCCGGCAAAAAAAGGTTCCACCACATCTACACTCGTTGTCGAATTTACCAATACTTGGACTAAAATGGCTATGT